CTAGAGCAGACCCAGAACGCTGGGCCCCACTATCTGATACAGAAGGTCTGGGGTGGGGGCCTGAGAATTTGCATTTATTACAGCGTGGGGAGGCGCACGCCCTGAAAATCACTGGAGAGGCTGGGGGGCTGGTAAACAATCCTCTCCATTGTCTTTCTCCCACTTACCATGTGAGCATTGCTGTTTCAGTGAAGCAAGGAAAAAGCATGAGTTGTTTTCATACGCATTTTAGACGGTACATTGTGTTTACTTTAGGCATTGAGCTGTATGACACTGAAAGGAAATTAATGTATTAATTACTAGAAATTACTAGGAATTGAAGTCCAGCTTTCAGGACCTTAATGTTTAGAATGATTGCCCTCTGTGCTTAACAGAGCCAATCGCTCTATTTTTAAGACTACTTTCTCGTTCTGAATGATGAGAAAAGCTTTCAGACCCTTAACCGCAAACACTCTTCTGCCCACGGCACTTTGCAAAGGCGGCTCGTCTTTATGCCTGGTCCACGAAAAGCCAACTCGGATAGAAGATGCAGTGGTCAGTCTCGTCCCTCTTTATCACACGGGTATTTGAAGCAGACTTGGGGTCCCTGCATGCTCAACAGCATCTGTGATGAGGTGAAGTCAGGAGTGGAGTCTGGAGGTGGGTCTGTAAAACCGATTGCATCTGACCTTGTGTTCTTTTGCACTGACTGCCCTGCAGCGTAGGGCCGTGGAATAGAGCCCAAGCCAGGAAAGCCAGCCGGGCAGTTCCTGCCTTCCAACACGTTCAGACCATGCCGTTTTCACCGGGGAAGCGTTCACGTTATTTGTTTGTTATAAACGTTTTATTTATTTTTGAGAGAGAGAAAGAGTGTGAGCAGGAGAGGGGCAGAGAGAGGGAGACGAGACACAAAATCCGAAGCAGGCTCCAGGCTCTGAGCTGTCAGCACAGAGCCCGACGCGGGGCTTGAACCCAGGAACCGTGAGATCATGACCTGAGCTGAAGTCAGATGCTTAACTGGCTGAGCCGCCCAGGCGCCCCATGTTCAAGTTATTTGACTTATCCACCCTTTAAATACAGAGATGGTGCATGCGTTCTGAACGTCTTCACCTATGGGAACCCTTAGAAACGTGACAGGAAAGCCATCCAGTATGAATGATAGAAGTGGATGTATTTACGAATGAGAATGAGAAGCTGTGGATGGAATGGAAAAAGCAAGTTTGCAAAAGAGTTTGTGTAGCTTGAGTCCACTTTTGCCGGAAAAAAAGTGTTAAAATACACACGGCGAAATGCTCTCAGCAAGTTATCTCAGCTGGAGGGAAGCACGTTGGATTCCTCATGTTTTTTTGCTTCTTAGGTTTTTCAGTGTTTGGGATTCCATATTACTTAGGTAATTAAGAAAAGGGGGGGAGGCGGCTATTATTTTTAAAAAGCAAATACAAGAGGCACAGAGAGACCATAACAGCCATCTCCCGTAGATTATTTTAAAATAGAATAATACCCTTTCCTGCCCGGAGACGCCCAGTAAGAAGGTGTGGTGTCACAGATTCTGTGGGTGTAAAGCAATCTATCTGCTGACACCCCAGAGAACCACATCAGCTTTAAAATGCAGTATTTTCCATATAATTATGGCTTCAAATACTAGCTGCTTACTGGTAGTGGAATAACACACAGAGATAGGCACAGTCATAAATTACTGGTAGTCACCATAGCAACACCGCAATAAATTCTATTTTTGTGACTGTGACTGCACAATCACTTTTGATCTAACATAAATAAGAATCTTACAATGTGTATTATTTTAAATATATGTGAAATATTTTAAATATACTTTTTATTTTTTTTTATTTTTTAAAAATGTTTATTCATTTTTGAGAGAGAGACAGAGTGTGAGTGGGGGAGGGGCAGAGAGAGAGGGAGACACAGAATCCGAAGCAGGCTCCAGGCTCTGAGCTGTCAGCACAGAGCCCGACGCAGGGCTCGAACTCACTAACTGTGAGATCATGACCTGGGCCCAAGTCAGATGCTTAACTGACTGAGCCACCCAGGTACCTCTTAAGTACACCTTTAAAATATTAATTTAGGTATAAGTTATTCATAAGGGTTTTTCTCATCCCCTTAAACTGGAGGGTTTACTAAATATCAAGGTTACCTCCTATTAGACTGGACCAGATCATCTTCCACAAAGAAACCGATATAGGCATTTTTCCATTACCCCCAATTAAAATGATTATAGGACATTTACCTAAGCTTGTCTTCCTGACTCATAACTTCCTGAAGGTTGTGGTTGGATTTGAGTTAAAATTCTCTGGCGGTTGTTCAAAGCCTTCTGCTTTAGCAATGAGAAAACCAATTATATTATTTTCATCACATAAAATTAATGTGATCCCACAGGCTATATTTTAGAAATCTCTTTCTTTTCCATTAATTTTCAGTATAAACCATTCTTTAAAAAAAAAAAAAAAGGAGGATCATGGGAAAAAGTCATGTTGACATTTTAAGTTGAAAAAAATACGTTGCCTGGATGGGCTGGTAGCGAAGATTCAGACCCAAGCCAGACCCCCACTGATGCCAGCGTCTGTGAGGGTGAAAAGGACTGAGAGCCTCTGAGCCTGGTTCTTCGTCCCTAAAGCCTCAGTCTGTTTGGTGAATAGTAATGTACTTAGAGCTTAAGAGCCATTCCTTGTATCCAGTTGTCTATTTTCATCATCTTTCTTCCCACCCTGTTAAAGTGTTTCTTGCTAAGAAAATACACAGCTAGTCATTCTGGATGTGTTACTCTGGTGTATTTAACTCTATGTAGAAAGCTTTCTGAGTCAGGTTACCGGTGATGATGTTCACATCTATAGTGCATCTATTTTAACTCAACAAATGTGTCATTCAAGCCACTATAAATAACATAAGCAAGAGCATAGAAGTTCAAGAGAAAGTATCAGTTAGTGGGATATTTATCAAATTGGGGAATTTAATTTACAACAATTACTACAGAGGAACCTGGGTGGCTCAGTTGGTTAAGCATCTGACTCATGATTTCGGCTCAGGTCATTATCTCATGGTTCAAGGTCTAAACTGACAGTGTGGAGCCTGCTTGGGATTCTCTCTCTCTTCCTCTCTCTCTGCCCCTCCCCCACTTATGCATGTGTGCGCTCTCTCTCGCTCTCTCAAACTTAAAAACAAAAAACTTTAAAAACAAAACAAACCAATTACTATACATTTGCACTCAATATATATTTTGGTCATTTAAAGTTTTTTATTTACAGGGATCTAATGATACCTAAATCCTTTCTAAGTGGCCTAGTGCAATCATTTCAGCTACTGTAATAGTTTATAAGATTAGCCCATGTCACCAGCAGACAATCACCAGAGAAAAATCTCAGGATAATATGGAAAACATCTGTTGATCACCTGGGATTTTACATGAACAGTATTCTATAATATTATGGCATATTCTAGTTTACCCAGTACTTTTCAATCCATTATTTCATTTGGTACAAGTTGATGAAAGTGGTTATCCCGAGTTAACATAGAAGGTAATGGAGACACAGACTGTCCTGGACCAGGGCTCTGCACGTCACACTGTAAGAAGGAGACTGTGCTTCTTAAAGGTTGGGGCTCTGGAATGAGTTTCAGAATGAATGAAGCCCTTCCATCATACCAGCATCACACCTGGCTACCGGATCTTCAATGCTACAAGACTCCAAAGGGAATGCATAAACAGTAGGTGCCTCATGCTCCTCAAGCCAAATTGCACTGTTCCCAGCCACCGGTTCCCATGTTCTGGGGCTGCCCTGCTTCTGCAAGATGTATGGCTATACCGACTCACCCACTAACAAAATATGTACACAGCACTTATGTGCCATTCACTTCCTGAGGTACAGAAAAATGCAACTGTGAACAAGACACTCATCTCCTGCCTTGTTAAAACCGAAATGTCTAGTGGTAGAGCTGAAAGCACATCAGGCAATTCCAAGTGAATGGCAAGTGCAAAGATGAATGGGTCAGGGTGCCAAAAGTCAAGTGTAGCAGAGCGGCACCAACCCACACCAGGAGCTTTGGACTAAGTGGTCTGAGTGGAGACATGAACGACAAGAAGGCATCAGTCAGCCCCAGCTGCGAGAGGGAGAGAGAGGAAGGCGGGAGCTGCATGTGCAAAGACCCTGAGGCAGAGGGGAAGGAGTGTGTTGGGTTTGAGGAACTCAAGTTCAGTGTAAGTGAATTGTGAGAGCAGAGATCCTTACTGTTGCAGAAAGGGGTCTGAACTTTGCTTTGACAACGAAAGGAGGCCAGGAAAGTGTTTTAACTGGAGGAATGTGGTATAGGGATCAAAGAAACTTTTGTAGTGATCCAGTTGAATGATAGGTGGGGTGGAATGAGGGGAAATGTGTGAAAATGGATGGGGCATCTTCAGGATGTAGACTTATCAGAGGCGCTCGGCTGGTTCAGTTTTTTAAGAGCCCAAATCTTGATTTCAGCTCAGGTCATGATCTCATGGTTCATAGGATTGGGCCCTGTGTGGGGCTCTGTGCTGACAAGCCTGCCTAGGATTCTCTCTCTCCCTCTCTCTCTGTTCTTCCCCTGCTTGCATGAGTGTGCTCTCTCTCAAAATAAATAAATAAACTAAAAAAAAAAAAAGAATGTAGACTCATCAGATCTCATAGGTGATTGGGTGTGAATGGTAAAACAGAGGAAAGAAGCAAGTATAATCCCACTAAGATAAGAGCCAGCAAACCCAGCCTGGAGTGTCCACAGGGAAGCTGGGCACTGGCATTAGGGTCTCCTGTCAGTGTACCCCCTCCCGGACATCCCTCCACTCCTGGACCCTAGTGAAGTCTGTCTTTTTTCATACTTCATTCTCACAACTGGATACTGCTTCCTTAAGATATATGGATGAAACTGTAATTCAAACAGCTTCAAGATATCGCTTCCATCCTTCACAGCACAGAGAATGAAAACAAACATGGAAACATACAGATAAGAAGCACAGAGATCATTCAAACATGTAATACAAAGCCATGCAATCTGTCTGAAGGGGCCCTCAGAGGGTGGGTATAGCCAAGGGGCAGGAGCATAAAAGAAGGGTTTCATCTGGCACAAACACATGAACGTAAGCTGGAAGGTACTCATAAAGACATCCTCACAGCGTCTGAAGCCACGCTGGAGGAGAATGCCAACTTTACAATATGGAAGCTGGTCAGATATTCCTGGGTTTTTTCCCTTTGGTAAAGCTAGGTTCCCTTTGGTACCTAGCATAGATATTTACTTGACTCAGTCATGTTCAGCCTGTACAGCTTATACAATCACTCCTAAATCCATGGCAGAGCCCAGCGGGGTGAGATCAGGCCTCCAGAAAAACGTGCAACAGACTAAGATTGTCACAAGCAGGGAGAATGGATGGCTTCTCATGAAATCCACATAAGACGGCTTATTCAAATACATCATCTGCTTGGTTGTAAGACATGTCTGACTCCACCATCCCAAATCCTTCATAAGTGAAGTTTCTATTACTCGATGTTGGGTGGCTCTTCTCCTGTTTCAAAGCCTTTCCTCCCTCCTGGTCAGACGGCTCAAACTCAAACACAGCAGAACTCACAGCGTGAAGGCCTTTGGCAAAAGGGACCTTACCCCCATCTGGCTCAGTTGTGTCTGAAGGACTGGCAGGGGATAAGAGTCGACCACTCCGTAGCCTTTTTCTTATTTCTTCTTCTTTAGTCTGAAAGGCGGTATTAAAGAATGAAAATGAGCCCTAATAACTTCTTCGAGTTCTCATTAATATGCCTGAAATTAACCTATATCGCTTTTCCATCTCATTATCCAGTCACTTAACAAACATGTGTTGAGGAACTACATAAAACCTTGGTTTGCAGCCATAATTTGTTCCGGGAACACGCTTGTAATCCAAAGAACTCCTCTATCAAAGCAAATTTCAGAACCATTGGTTCAGTTGCAATCATGTGATATTCAGTGTCAGGTATGGCTCATATTGCAAGACATGGCTCTTTTATCAAGTTAAAATTTACTAGAAATGTTTGCTCATCTTGCGGAATGCTCACAGAACAAGTTACTCACAATCCAAGGTTTTACTGCGCTATTAAAGGCACACACACGCTCCCTACCCTAATGGAGCTTAATGGGGAGCCCCTGTTCCCCGAGATGCCAAGTAGAGGGATGGAGACAAAGGCTGTCAGACCACAGCTGTGAAGGCTGTTTCACGGAAGGATGGACGACGGAGGGTAATGGCGCCCAGGGCAGGTATTGGTCTAATGGTCTGGACGGCCTCCTTTCAGCCTTCGTCACACGCCTCCTCTCCTCCCCGCCCACCCCAGATGAAGCTTTCCTAATTCCAGATGAAGAAAGCTCCATGCTTCATTCTGAAAACTGAATATTGCTTCCTTAGATTATATGGATGAGCCCATACTTCAGGCAGCTACAAGATGTTGCCTCCCTCCTTCATCACAGAAAGAGAATTAAAGTAAAATTAAACATCCTGCAGAGGAAGCGTACACTAAGACACTTAATCTGAATCTTAAAGTGGTAGATAGGAAAGGCCTACGCGGGCTCATTTCAGCAAGTAGCACACACTCACGCAGGAGCTCAGGTACCTTCCTGCGCCGCTCCACCGCCCACATCTTCTCTTCTACATCGTTCATTGTGAAAGCCTTTGCTTCCTTTTTGATCTTCAGTTTTTTCAGCCTGGCTGGAGGCTTTCTCAGTGGCATCTCTGTCGTGTTTACCTGGAGGAAGGAAAGGGAGGAAACAGAAGATTTGTTCGCTGGTGGAGGAGGGAGACAGGAGAGGTAGAATGAACACAGTGTAGAACGTCGATCCTAAAAATCCAAATAGATATTATGGCAGATTTAAAAGTCACAGTGTGAACGCTGCTCACCACAGAACTCATTCCTAAAAAAGAAGAAAAAAAGGTCTATTGGATGCCTAGGAAAAAAAAAAAAAGACAGGCTCTTCCTGAAACACACTGAAATAATCCAACAATGGTCTGGAGTGGGTAAAAAGGCTCAAAATGAAACCATTCTGGGGAATGAACACAAGATGGAAAAAGGTGGCAGACGAGTGATGAATGAATGCCTAGCTCAAGGTAAAAAGTGAAACCCGACAATTTTGTAATACGCCACAGCTACAAACGCTGTGATCGAGGTCAGTTTTGAGCACTTTGGGTCTCGTGCAGGAGAAAATTATTACTGAGCAGCAACCTTGGGCTGGGCTTTGCCGTCAGGACTTTGTGAATGTTTTCAGGATGGGAGGAAAAATTCCCAACTGTTCCACGTGACTGACTACCCTTTCCATGGTTCAAAGCAGCGATAATGACTTTCTGATGACAATTTCTTGTTACAAAAAAGTAAAATTGTTGTCAAGGCTTTATAAAGAAAGCTTTAATGCACGTGTTTTTTCTTTTTTAAAGTTAGCTTTTTATAACCTACATAAGTTATGAAAGAGTAACGTGTACATAAATAATTCCCTAGTCTTCTGCTGAACCACCTGACCCCCAGTCCTGCTTATCAGCATGAACTATGCTGAAAAATTTGGTATGTGTGCCTCCAGGCATACTCTGTGCACATATATTTATAGACTTATGTATGTGCAGTACATCTGTAACGTTAAACCAAACATAAATGAAATTATACCCTCTACGGGCTGCACAATTTGCCTTCTCTACTTAATTTGCTATGGACATCTTTCTCGGTCAGTACGTATAGATTTATGACAACCGGGGAAGATCTCCATGAACTCTGGGCTTCATTATAAACTAAACTTAATGTTGTAGGTAATTTCTCTAATGACTTTTAAAGACAAAGGAGCCATTGATATCCACTGTAATATTTAAAAGAGTCTACAAGGCTGCTGGTACTGAGAAAATACATCAGAGAGGCAGTCTAGCACAGTCTAGACTAGCAGAAAAAGATGCCTGGTCAAGACACGGACAGACCTAGGTTTGAGTCCTGGTTTGGCCACAGTGTGCCTTTGAGTGAGTTCTTAAGCTCTGTGAGCTTGCCTCTGTCGCTTAAAAGATGGGTTTAATGGTACTTATTTCTCAGGATTTTCTTTTAAAAACTTTTTATAAATGTTTTATTTATTTCTGAGAGAGAGAGGAAGACAGCATGATCAGGGGAGGGTCAGAGAGAGAGGGAGACACAGAATCTGAAGTAGGCTCCAGGCTCTGAGCTGGCTGTCAGCACAGAGCCCAACACGAGGCTCGAACCCATGAACCATGAGGTCATGACCTGAGCTGAAGTCGGGCGCTTAACAGACTGAACCACCCAGGCGCCCCAAGGATTTTCTTTTTTTTTAAGAAAGTGTAGAGTAATCACACAGGAAATGGTAATTACATTTCATTCAGTGAAAGCAGCGACTGTTTTAATGAAGTTTTTAATTTTAATTGCAGTACAGTTAACATATAGTGTAATATTAGTTTCAGGTGTACCATATAGTGATTCAACCGTTCCATACATCACCTGGCGTTCATCACAAGTGCACACCTCTTCTTTATCCATTCATTCATCAGTGGACATTTGGGTTGCTTCCATAGTTTGGCTATTGTAGATAATGCTGCTATGAACATCAGGGTTCATGGATCTCTTTGAATTAGTGTTTTAGTATTCTTGAGTGAATACTTAGTAGTGTGATTACTGGATCAGAGGGTAGTTCTATTTTTAACTTTGGGAGGAATCTCCATAGTGTTTTCCCCAGTGGCTGTACCCATTTGCATTCCCACTGACAGTGTGCGAGGGTTCCTTCTTCTCCATGTTCTCACCAATACTTGTGGTTTCTTGTGTTTTTGATTTTAGTCATTCTGACCGGTGTGAGGTGATAGCTCATTGTGGTTTTGATCTGTATTTCCTTGATGATCAGTTATGTTGAGCATCTTTTCATGTGTCTCTTGGCCATCTGGATGTCTTTTTTGGAGAAATATCTGTTCATGTCTTCAAGCAGTGACTTATTTCTTTACTTTTCTTTTTAATGTTTATTCATTTTTGAGAGAGAGAGAGAGAGAGACAGAGCACAGGCAAGGGAGGGGCAGGGAGAGAGAGAGAGGGAGACACAGAATCCAAAACAGGTTCCAGGCTCTGAGCTGTCAGCACAGAGCCTGACACAGGGCTCAAACTCATGAACTGTGAGATCATGACCTGAGCCAAAGTCGGACACTTAACCGACTGAGCCACCCAAATATCCCCAAGCAGTGACTTTTTTTCAACGACAGCACACAGAATCATCACTAAGATACAATATTTGTCCTGAAGGGCAGGAATGGGAATCTGAATCACAGGGGCCAGCAGGCGACCCGGGCTGTAATCTGGGTCGGCCTCTAATACCCATGGCGTCCCCTGAGACAAGGCACCCCTACTCTTTGGACTCTGTTTTCTCACATGTAAAAATAGTGAGGGGGCTGAGGACCGCTAACGTTCCTTCCAGCTTTAAGAACCATGTTTCTCAGAAAACTGTTTAGAGGGAAACATTTGTTGAAGTTTTGGCTCAGTTACAGCCATCAGACAGTTTGGTGTGGTGAGAAGTTTTTCACTACATGAAGACCGTGGAATGTCTGTCAAAGCAAGTTCCCCTTCCCCCATCACTGTATTATTTTTATGACAATTGGCTCTTAGGCTCCCTGCTGGCAAAGCCATTTGCTGCAAAGAGGGACGTACTTGCTGTAGTGGCTCAACTAAAGATACTGTGAAATTAGTATGAAAACAGTTCTTTAGGGAAGTTCGCTCACAGAAGGCTAAAAGAACATGAAATGGTAATCCCAGATTTAATGAAGAAAGGCTCCTTGAGGCTTGACACAGGGGTCTGAATCTTACCTAAAGGAGTACGCGAGTAGCTCAGAGACTTGGGATTTCTGGTCTGGGTGGACTCTTCCTGTAGCTTTATCTCAAAGTGATGCCTAGGAAATCAAGTACTTCCTCCCGCTTCTGGAAGTTAATCCTACCTGGGCAACCCTCATCCTTTCCCGAGTTTGACATTTGAAGTAAAGGCCTTGGAAGACCTGAGGGAAAATACCTGTATTCTTTCCCACTGGATTTTATGAAGTCAGGATTGGCCAACTGTTGGCACTTAAAAATAACATGATGCTTAGAGAGGGTGCTCCCCATAAAAACTCTAAACCTGTAGATGTTACTAGTTCAATTATGTTCTTAAAGGGTACCATCAGAAGACTGTCAAGCCTAAAGATGCTGTGATAAAGTCTGGATCTTGTTTCTAGCCAACCTGGCTTGTATATATTACAAACCTGTGACCACTGTGTAGTCCTCGGAGCTTCCCTAATTAACTGTTGATCCACAGATAAGCCTACGGTGGCTATGTTCCCTCCCCAAAGTCTTGTGCTTAGAATGGGTCAAAGCTTCCAGAAGACCTGTCATTCCTGTTCTGGCCTTGTGAGACCTCCCAGGCAAGGTGACAGCATTGGCTGACATTAGTCTTACCCAGTCTACTTCCTCCTCCTTAAAACACTCCCTGAGAGGTTCAACAAATAATGGTAGGGACTCTGATGCAAGGTGAATGAACTCCCTGACTGCACTGAGCGTTACCAAGGGCAGAAGTTGCCCAGAGCAGGGCATAAACTTTGGCTGGAGACAGCATGAGTCAACAGAGAAATCAGTCTTGTGTATGGAGACCCGGGACATGTAGGAGGCAGGGGAAAATGAGTCTGGGATAAAAAACACCTCAAGTGGGTAATACCAACGTGGATAAATGAGAGCCAATTACACCTCTTGCAGAGATATCTACCAGTGGTGACACGCAGTTACGTGTGTATATAAAGTCCATACACATTTATAATACAGCCACTTAGTCTCTTTACAATATTTTAAAATACCCTGAAAAATTAATTTAGTCTGATATTTAGCTTAGTAGTCTATCATGATATATTATAATTCATTATATCAATATAATTCTTTCTGAGTGAGGGTAAATTCTGTTTAGTATGACTCCGCTTGAAAGCGTGTTACCCCGGGAGCACTATGAAACTTCTGTAGTACTTGCCAACAAGCAAATGATAACAGTTAAGAAAAACGATGAATGGGGGCCTGTGGACAGATACTGCCCTGGACCTCCAGGGAGAGACTGGCCCACAGGGGAGTCTCTCCATTCAGCAGATGAATGGAGGGCCTATCATATTTTTCAGTCTACATGAGAACTGTGTTAAAGAAGGAGACAGATATGGGGCATCTAGGCAGCTCTGTCGGTTAATTGTCTGACTTTTGCTCAGGTCGTGATCTCACCGTTTGAGTCCCACATCGGGCTTAGCGCTGACAGGGCAGAGCTGCTTTGGATTCTCTCTCCTTGCCCCTCCCCTACTCTCTCTCTCTCAAAATAAATAAACTTAAAAGAAAGAAAAAGAAGAAGGGGACAGATCTGTCTGACATTCCCTTGCATTTATACTAACAGTCTATGTCAGAAGTTTTGTCCTTATTCTCACATTTATTGTTCTATTTTTTCCCCTCATAATATTTGCTTTAAAAGATTTTGCGGGACCAATGAAGAAACCATGTTACATGCCTTTGTCACATTGTAGTAACTGCTGACATTACTAATATCCCTTTTGGTTTGCTTTTTTAGCCAATTTATCATCTGCTGTTTTTTTTCTAACAAATATTATTAAATGTTGGAGAGTGAAAAGTATTAACTCTCTAATAATATTTTCATTCGTAGTATGTTCCCCTTTCAGTATTCACTACTCATCTTTTTACAGTGACTCATAACTTTTCCCAAAATATGGAGACACCTGGTGTCTGATATATGTATGATCTTAGCTATACCTGCACTGTAAGAGACTGCACCTGTGACGCTAAGCAATTATCCCTCTCCCTCATTTCCATACATTCCTGGGGATACGCTTTGTCCTGTGCCTGGAAATATGTTACGCTTTCAGGAATCTTTTAGAATTCTCTTTCACAATGGGGGGTTTTGATATCAAAAGCTTTTACCCTTTCCAGCTTTATAATGAATTTGGGGGCCTTGTGTATGTTGGTAGAAACTTCAGGGCACTAGAATCACGGGGAGCTTTCAAAAGCACTACAGCCAGAGCCCACCTCCGGTCACTGGTCCTGGGGGTGCCCAGGCACTGGGATTTTCTTTTTTTTTACTGTATTTTCTTAATGTTTATTTTTGAGAGAGGGAGAAAGATAGTGCTCAAGCGAGGGAGGGGCAGAGAGAGAGGGAGACCAGAATCTGAAGCAGGCTCCAGGCTCCGAGCTGTCAGCACAGAGCCCAATGCGGGGTTCGAACCCATGAACCACAAGATCATTACCTGAGCCAAGGTCGGACGCTCAACCGACTGAGCCACCCAGGTGCCCTGAGAATCCCAAGCAGGCTCCACACTCTCAGGACAGAGGCCGATGTGGGGCTCGAACTCACAAACTGTGAGATCTTGACCTGAGCTGAAACCAAGATTCGGACACTTAACCAACCCAGGCGCCCCTGGGACTTCTGAAAGCTTGCTAGGTGATCTGAATGTGCAGCCAGGTTAAGGACCACTGCTCTAGACAATAAAACGTACAGCTGTGTGTTACTGCTCTGGCCTTTTGCAAGTCTAGATTATGCTGGGACATCGTGGCCCAATTCCAAAGCAAAAAGCAAAAGCAAAGAGCTGTGTTTTTCTTACCTATCTCTGTGGTCCTCCTTTTGAGGATGTGGACATCCTTTTGAGAATGGTCCAGCTAGGCACCTGACAACCATTCCATTTCTATAGAATACCAACACACTCTTCATCTTCCGCTCACGTAATGCTGCTATTGAAAGTCAAGCCTGTAGTTTTCATTTTTTAAGTAGATGTATTTCTTCACGATGTTATGTTAATTAACCTTGATGTGCCCTTGTAAGGTCTCAGTCTGGACTCCTTCATCTCTGGTATCTGCCTTACTGGAAAATATTTTAATGCTCTTCCCATTGCTGTTAGCATCCATGTTCTATAGCATTTCCCTAAAGAAGGCATCGCTTAGCTACTGAAAGTATCCACAATTTATCCTCCTCCAGATTGTTCTCTTGTCTTTTTTCTTTTGACACACCTTCCTTTTTTCTGACCCCCAGAGATTCCCCTAGAGCTGGAAAAGAATCTCTCCCCTCCTTTTCCATGTTCAAAACACATCTAGTACTTTCAAGTAAGCTACTGTACTCTAAAGTGCCTCGCGTCTCACAGATGTAAACTGTCATTATATTGGCGTTATCTTTTCCACTATATAATCTATTTTTACCTTCCCCTGCCCCCTACATCCGCTGATTATTCGCAGCCTGATAACATCATTCATGAGGTTAGCGATTTCCTCTTTTCCCCAAATACCTTCTGCGGGATGCATTTTCCTTCTTCAAAAGAAAATGCCACTTTGGTTTTTATTCATGAGTCTTCAGCAATTTCTACATGCAGAGAAGGAAATTACCTTTGTTCAAATACTTAAGTGACTTGGTCCAGGTGGCAACCTTGATTTAAATAATGTGCCTATTTATTCCCAATTGATTGTTTTCCCTACAAGGCAGGGATGGGCGACCGTCGAGGAGCCTTTGATGTTATTTCTGGTCCTGATTTCCATCCTTTCTGTGTCCTCCTCATCTTTCTCACTCATCTCTCCTTAGGCTTCTTTCCTCTGTTTATTCTTCTTTCCACCTTCTTTAGACAGTGGGGTTGCCTGGGAGCTTTGTTAAACGAACACAGGAGAAAACAGAACAAAACAGCAACGACGCCACCAGCCATCGACTTTACAGGTTTAGACAGAACTTATTAAAAACATTAAGGACTCAAGATTTCAGCCACAACCAGTTAAAATCAGAGTAAAAATTCTGCTCACACTAGGGAAACACAACAACTGATTAGTCAAGATGAATCAACAAAGAAAAATAAGAGTATAGATTTTTACAACTGGATTCATTTCCTCCTGTTTGACTTTAGGGTCAATTCATAAATGTGTACATATAGATGTATATATACATGTGTAAGCATATCTGTTTTAGCTTTAACATTTAGGCCTATTTTTGAATTAGATAAATCAGAGTTCATTTTTATACTCACAATACCAAGTACACAGGCCATACTTAATAAAAATTCTTCGAAGAATGAAGGCCTTATTCAATGGGGCTTACTATCTCTCAATTTCAGTAAAACCCAAGATATGTTTTACTGGATTCATTTATCATCAGTGATTAGGGCAATTCCCGGGTGCCTGGCTGGCTCAGTGTGTAGAGCATGCGGCTCTCACTCTTGAGTTGTGGGTTTGAGCCCCATGTTGGGCATAGAGATAGATTAAATAAATAAATTTAGTATTTATTATTTAAAAATTTTTAAACTTTTCTATGAATTTATTTTTTAGTTTTTTAAATTTACATCCAAGTTAGTTAGCAAGTAAATAAACTTTAAAAAAAATGATTAGGGCAATTCCTGAGTCTGTGGAGAAGGATGACATGGAGACGGGTGACAGAATTGATGGGAGAAGAACCCGGTGTAGACAAATGCTATAATCTGCACTGTGACTTCGGAAATCGTAACTTGCGATCAATCATATTCTATTGCTATTATAAACTATAGGCTAATGTTCAATTAGGGAATTACTTGCCATGACGTCATACGATTCTCCGTGTCTAAATACTTTGCTGTGGCTTTGTATTATTCCTTGAACAATTAATTCCTCCAGAATGTCTGATGACTTTTGTCGCTCTCGGGTCTCGGGGGGTTGGGGGTTATGGATTAATCCACTGGTCACTAGGGCTTCCAAAGGAAAAGAAAGAAGAAATAGGAATTTAAGCATTAACATTTTATCAATTGGATGCTAAATGGATGCCTTATAAATTATGCCACTTCATTAAATCTTGTCTCAACACTCTTACCTACATATCTGTTTCCGTTATAAATCTTTGAATCCTTTGAAGTTCAAATTCTTCCTGTTCTTTCAGACGATGCGCATCACCAGAATATACTGTTTACTTAGCAGGCCCCATACTAACATAACAAAAGTCTCTCATGTGCTGCTATGTACTACTTTTTTTGTTGTAACAACACTTACACACTGGGGTAGGGCTGCATGGGTTCTCTACACTAATTACTGAGCTAAAACACAGCTAGGAAGGAGATATTCTTTTGGGGACTCTTGTGAGTTGCAGTTTGGTTTCTATGCTCTGTATACAAAGGGTAAACAGTGGGATGTTGCCAAGAGACTTCGAGTTCCGCAACCTCAAGGTTTACATTAGTTTACAATGACACCATCTGCTAAATTTATGTAAGTAAAAGTAATACCTTTTTGAAAAGAGTCTTTGAACCAAATCAGAATTGAAGTCAAGCGATGTCAGCTACATTTTTATTAATGATTCTAAAAATGGCACCGAAAGGGTTTCTCAGGAGGCTTTATAAACTGCACTAATGAGAGAGATCCCAGCCTCCCATTACAAATCGTCCAGGTCTCCAAATAGGCAGGCATCTGTTTTTACAGACTCCCATCATAAAATAAAGGTGCAATGTGTCTTCAGAAATGAGCTATTTCCTACTTTGTAATCATCAGGAAGTCCTCATAATAACCACATTCATTTCACCTAGTGGACACAGTCTTTTTAGAAAAATGTCTAACCTCACTGGCTGACAAAGACAGTTTTCATGAATCTGCAGTGGGAAGAGAGAAAAAATGCACACATACACACGAGCCTGATGTCTCTTACTTCAGAATATCTGCCTTCTTGTTACAAGAGACTTCTCTAATTGACCCCTGCAGGTAACCGCAACAAATTGCCTATAATCTCATTTCTTGTCCAGTGCCGTGTCTTCCTTCTACCTTCCATGTGTTTGAAACAGACTCGATTCCTACTTTAAAGAGCTGTATACAGATTTTGGTACAGAGTGGTAAAGCATGTCTTTCAAGTAGGTTAACTAGAAGCTAGAAACAATAGAGAAAAATTCAATAAAAGAGCTAGAGGTAAGCCCTCTTCAAATAATTAGATGGATTTTGTTGTTGTTGTTGTTGTTGTTGTTGTTGTTTAGAAGGTGAGCTTAGCTGGAAGGGTCAAAATAATAACAATGACTATTTGCTGAGCATTTATGTGCCTGGCACCATATTGGGTACTTTATATACTTTATAATACTGTGAATCCTGTGAGAGAGGTACTGTTATTCCTATTATATAAACAAACTATATGAGAAAGGTGTTAAATTAACTTGCTTAAGTGACATGGGTAGGAAGAGAATCAACTAGGATTTGAATTCAAGAATATCTGATTTCCACATCTGTGCTCTCCGCCACCTCCCTGCACTCCTTACTGAAGGTCATGGAAAGAGGTCCACTGCATGATCCATTATTTTTCTGAGTCCACCAAACTATTTCGTTTGACATTGACAGTGGCTAACCTACAAAGAGACCCCTGAGCTATGTTGGTCACTGCGACTAATTCTCATGATTTCTTGGGATGCTAAAGACGATTGGGGAAATGTTTGAACATGACATTATGCTTTTTTCTGATTATGAAAGTGATACATGGTTATCATAGTAAGCTTGGAAAATATAGAAAAGAATACAAAAGAAAAGAAAACTGCCCATCCTCTTACCATTCAGAGATCACCACTGTTAATATATCAAATTTTACTTTTACAAACCAGACGTCATACTGAACATACAGTTATGTTTCCTATGCAGTTAACATCACACTAGCATTTTCTCATGAGATCAGAAATTCTTCACTAGCATAAGTGTCAAGAGTGATGTAAGAAAGTGTATGTGAATTCATCTTTAACTGTAGTGTAGGAAAAAGCTTTCTAACTATGACTCAAAATCCAGATTCAAGAAAAGAAAAGATTGATAAATTTAACTACATTAAAAAAATGTTTGCACGACCAAAAAAAAAAAAAAAATAAAGGTCAAATATAGATACCACGTACCTCCTGATTTGATGTACAAACAGGGTACAATATCATTTTTGGTATTTTTGCTAAAAATGCATAACCTCAAGCTAATCATGGGGAGTTATCAAACACAAATTGAGGAACTTTCTACAAAATAGAGAGCTTATATCTCCAAATAGATCAATCCGATAAAAGACGAAGAAAAGTTGAGGGACTGGCTCTAGATTAAAGGAGCAAAACACCACATGACATCTAAATTAAACATGTGATTCCCGATTAGATCTTGAACCAGACATTTATTTGTAAAGGACATCTGTGAGACGATTGATAAAATTTGAATATGCAGATGAGATGATGTACTGCATAAGGGGCAATTTGCTGATTGTGATCCCTGTACCGTGATTATGCAAAGAATATCCTTGTTTTAGGAAACACATACTGTACTTAGGAGTAAAGTGTCATTATGTCTGCGATTTGCTCTCAGAAACAATTTAGGGGTGTGTGTGTGTGTGTGTCTGAGAGAGAGAGGGACAGAGGGAGAGAGGGGGACCATGATACATGAAATTGTACCACATACAAATGTGATATAATGTTTGCATCTGGCAAATCTGGGGGAAAGACTATAGGCATTCTTTGTCTTTGCAACTTTACTTAAATCTGAAACTATTCAAAATAAGTGTTTTTTTAAGAAGGAAGTACTTGAGAAGTGTTAGTGTGAAACCTGAAATTTTAAACAAATACGTCTGTGGCTGGCAGAGCATGGATGCAGAAAGGACACAGAGGAGAAACCGAGCAGAGAACGACTCTTAGGCTTAGCGCGCTGGTTCTATTTCATTCTGTGGGAAGGTATCTTCTGGAAACGAATCTACACCACATAGTGCTTTGGGGTGCTTTGGTAGCTCCCTCCCTCCCCAGGCTGGTGTCTGTCAGCTCTACCCCACTGGCTGGGCTGATGGAGGGGACACCCAGGTCCCCTCCCACCTGACAATCTGCAGTCTGTTAGTTCCGTGGACATTGAGCACTCACGGCGCTCCCATCCATAAAATTATCAGAGAGAAAAATATATAGGTGCTGGCCCACCACACAGAGAGAGGAGAGGGCCCCCACTCTGTCCCCTGCCTCCTACCTCGTTCTCTGAGGTCATGAACGCCTCACATCGGAACTACAAGATGAAGGGTAAGAGGAAATCTATCATGATTAGCATGTACCATCCAAGTCCAAAGAAAAGAATCTCATTTATTAACCCATCTATTTTCCAGTTCTAATCTGAACCTAGGGAAGAAATAATAACGGTGAGGAATGACACGCAGGCCTCCCCCTCAAATAAGACAGAACACTTCTCCTCGAGTCCTGTGGAGTTCAATTTGTTTCAGAGGCTGATGAAATGTCAATGGGAGAGTTTAAATCAATACCAGGGGGGTAACTCAAGGAAGGCAAACACAACCGCAGGAAAAATCAAAATAGTTGCTAAGGAGCACACCAGGGCATAATTACTTCTCTCATGTTTTTGAAAGATGACTGTTTTGTATTTTCGCTGATACTTTGGATGGGAGACACAAGGGAAACAGTCTGATGTAGGTTTTATTTAGTCTTTCAAATGTAAAACTTTCTCTTGGAGGCGCGCCTGGGTGGCTTAGTCGGTTAAGCGTCCGACTTTCGCTTAGGTCATGATCTCGCAGTTTGTGGGTTCGAGCCCCGCGTTGGGCTCTGCGCTGACAGCTCAGAGCCTGGAGCCTGTTTCAGTCTGTGACTCCCTCTCTCTCTGACCCTCCCCTGCTCACGCTGTCTCTCTCTCCTAGAAATAAATAAAACATTAAAAAAAAAAAAACAACTTTCTCTTGGAAAGATGTTAACACAGTGGAAGTTTTCAGGAATTCAGCCAAAGCCTGTGTGACTCCTATTCCCAAGGCCTGTTCCTAACCAGTAAGGGCTCTCGGGTAGAAAACAAAAAAGGTAAAGAAAAGATAAAAAGAAAAAAACAAGATAGTTTTAATTACTTGATCTACAAGAAGATTAGTGGTTAGCATTATTTACCCACATAATGAAGGCCTCAGGCTACATCCTAATGTCTCAGAAATCGGGATTTTGCTCTTCGGAGCACTGCCTGGCCCACAGAACTGTGATAAAGGGGTTGCTAACATACATTATACTTTGTGTGTGTGTGTGTGTGTGTGTGTGTGTATAAACATGTATATGTTTTTTTTTTTTTTATAATGGAAGCACCCCCGCATCCTCAATGGAAGGATGTCCATCTTTTTTTTTTTTTAATTTTTTAAAAAATTTATTTCTGAGAGAGAGAGACAGCGTGAGCAGTGGAGGGTCAGAGAGAGAGGGAGAAACAGAATCCGAAACAGGCTCCAGGCTCTGAGCTAGCTTGTCAGCACAGAGCCTGACATGGGGCTCGAACCCACGAACCGTGAGATCATGACCTGGGCCGAATTCGGACGCTCAACTGACTGAGCCACCCAGGCGCCCCTACGTATATGTTTTGAAAAAATATTTATTTTGAGAAAGAGCACGTGTGGGGGAGGGGCAGAGAGAGAGAGAGAGGAGACAGAATCCCAAGCAGGCTCCACGCTGTCGGTACAGAGCCCAATGTGGGGCTTGATTTCATTAACCATGAGATCATGACCTGAGCCAAAATCAAGAGTCAGATGCTTACTGACTGAGTGACCCAGGAGCCTCTACATTTCACGATATATTTAGAGAGACAGTATTTTGTGGAGATTAGTATAAATGGGGGCTGTTACCTGAATTTATTCTTCTGTTTCTTTCACTAAGAGATGGGGGACTTTCTGCTATGGCTCCAGGTAAACTTCCCAACTGAGCCTGTTTTCCCAGGCCCTCGGGGCTGCTCACAGTGTCCTTGGGCAATTCAGCTTCAGTCTGGGGCCTGCAGTTCTCTCCGGAATGAGTCGCACCAACATCAGCCTGTGACAAGGGAACAGCTCCATGAGAGTCAAGATTTTGTAGAAAATAGTTTCTTTTTTTAATTTTTTATTTTTTAAAATGTTTTATTTATTTCTGAGAGAGAGACAGCATGAGCAGGGGAGGGTTAGAGAGAGAGGGAGACACAGAATCTGAAACAGGCTCCAGGCTCTGAGCTAGCTATCAGCACAGAGCCTGACATGGGGCTTGAACCCATGAACCATGAGATCATGACCTGAGCCAAAACCAAGAGTCAGTCGCTTAACCAACTGAGCCAGCCAGTCTCCCCTAAAAAAGTTTTTTTTTTTAAATGCACTGTCTTTATTGCTTATGCTGATTAAAGAAGTAATAAAGACTCATTGCAGAAATAAATAATATAAAAGGAAATTGTTGATGATCAGGTCTATGTGTCAACTAAGCTAGTCTATGGTATTGTTATCCAATCAAACATGAATCTAGGCATTGCCATGAAGGTATTTGGTAGATGTGGTTAATGTATACAATCTGTTGACTTTATTTATTTTTTTAAATGTTTTATTTATTTCTAGGAGAGAGAGAGAGAGAGCGTGAGCAGGGGAGGGTCAGAGAGAGAGGGAGTCGTAGACTGAAACAGGCTCCAGGCTCTGAGCTGGCAGTCAGCACAGAGCCCGATGCGGGGCTCGAACCCACGAACCGCGAGTACATGACCTAAGGGAAAGTCGGACACTTAACCGACTAAGCCACCCAGGCGCCCCACAATCTGTTGACTTTAAATAAAAGAGATTATCTTTGATAATCTGGCTGGGCCTCATCCAATCAGTTGAAGGCCTTAAGAATAGAATTGAGGTTTCCCTGAGGAAGAAGTTCTTACTGTGGACTGCACTTTCAGCTCCAGTATGGACCTGACCACCTGACCATCTGTGTTATCATGTGAATTGCGGACTTGGATAGCCAGTCCCCATAACTGCATAAGCCAATTCCTTGCAATACATCTATCTATCTATCTATCTATCTATCTATCTATCTATCTATCTATCTCTCTCTCTATCTATCTATCTATCCATCTGTCTATCCATCCACCCACCCACCCATCCATCCATCCATCCATCCATCCATCCATCCATCCATCCAACCATCCAGTCATCCATTATACTGGTTTGTTCTTTTGGTAGAACACTGAATGATACAGAAACACAGTAAAAATAAGTACCATTCCCTAGACAAAAGCATGGTTAACATCTTCGTATATAACTTCTCAGACGTTTTGCTCAAAGAAATACAATCTTTAAAAACAAACTGGAATTGTCTAATTAGCACATGAAAAGATGCTTAATATCATTAGTCATTAAGGAGATGCAAATCAAAACAAGAATGAGATACTACCTCACATTCACCAGCATGACTACAATGAAAAGTACACATAATAACTGTGAGTGGGGATGTGGAGAAATCGGAGCCCTCGTACAGTGCTGTGGGAATGTAAAACGGTGCAGCCACTTTGGAAAACAGTTTCGGAATTTCTCAAAAAGTCAAACAGTTAGCATATGACCCCAAAATTCCACTTCTAGGAACCCAAGCAAAATGAAAATGTACGTCCACACAAAAATCTGCACACATATGTTCAAAATTAACATTCAACATATCTAAATAAAATGTGGTCTATCCAGACCAAGGAATTTTATATGACAATAAAAAGAAAGAAAGGACTAATGTGCACTGCTCAGAGATGACATTTGACAACATTCTGCTGAGTCAAAGCAGCCAGACACAAAGATTGTTCCACTTACCAAACATTCAGAATAGGCAAATTAATAGGAACGCACTGTAGATTTAGTGGTTGCTTAGGAAGTAGAGGTTGGCCGCTAATGGGTAGTGGTTTCTTTTGTGGGCGGGATAAAAATGTTTTATTAGATTAGATTGTGGTGACAACAGTGAATTGTATCATATGTGGATTATATTTTAATAAAGCTATATATGAATAATATACATCAGGTTATATATTAAATGGGATTGTATTATATTTCTGTAACTTAATTTTTCCATTAAGGATATATTAGACATTTGCTTACATCAATATATATAGGCCTACTTCCTTCTAGTTAATGGTGGGGAGTAGTCATTTATTTGATAAATGTAGTGTAGTCTATTATGTAACATACCACAATTTATTCAACCGATTCCTACTGATGGCCATCTAGGTTGTTTCTATATATGCTTCTATATGTGTTTCTATATGTGTCTGCAATATAATGAACTGTGCTGGCATAATATTTGAGCATATATATTGGTGTGAATTCAACCAATCATCCTATGAGAATAATTCCCCACATCTAAAGATGTACACATTTTATATTAATATGTGTTTCTAGAGGGTCCTCCATAAATTCTGCACTGGCTTACAATCCCACCTTTCCTTGTTAAGAATGTCTATTTTTCCACACCACAGTTCCATTGATTATAAATAGGTTAACACACTGTAAAAAGGGTCCATATGTCATTTAGTAAGCCACTGACTCCAAAATGCTGCCCAGGTCAAAATTTTCATAGTCCCACAGCAAAAGAAGAAAAGACAAATGTAATGAATTTTCCAAAAAGCTAGATTTTTTAAAAAAATGTTTATTTTTGAGAGAAAGAGACAGACAGACAGAGCACAAGCAGGGAAAGGGCAGAGAGAGAGGGAGACACAGAATCCCAAGCAGGCTCCAGGCTCTGGGCTGTCAGCACAGAGCCTGACGCGGGGCTCCAACTCACAAGCTGTGAGATCATGACCTGAGCCAAAGTCAGACACCCAACCGACTAAGCTACCCAGGTACCCCCCAAAAAGCTAAATTAATTCAATTTAAAGAACTGGCATTTATTTGAGAGGCAGCGTGTTCTAAATATTGGTATGTTCAGGAACACTTTTCTCTAATCCCCACTAACTCCCCTGCCCCTTTTCTCCTAGTGCTGACCTTTCCTTCCTTGTTTGGTTTGATCAGACAACCTTTTCTCCATCAGACACACCAGAGGAAGCCTCCTCAGTGTTCCCAGAAGACCTATAACATAAGTATCTTCTACAGAGTATTGCCTTCTGGCTATTCTTCTCATGTCTATTGATTTCATGTTGGTCCAAGGGATGCTCTTCTTTTCCCCCAGAACTCTACCTCCAAGGCCCTATGGTTTCCAGTAATGCCCTGGTACGCTGGTACCAGGCTATATCTTCTTTGGGCAGCAGAAGGTGTTAAAGAAGAGAAGATGCTTGAATTGGGTCTTGAGGAATGAGTTGCCGGTGGGCAAGGACAAAAGATCATTATAGACAGAGAGGTGAAGCACACACGAAGATGGGTATGAAACAGTATTGTGACTGTATGAACTTGAACTATTCCAGTGGAGCAGAAACAGATGGAGGTAGAACAGGGTAGGTGCTGAGGTGGGAAAAGGAAGTCTTTTGTGACGAGTGAAGGAGTTTGATTTTATTTTGAATGCAACGGGAATCCTTTGTAGGGTTTTTGTGCATGGGAGCAAAATAAAATGATCAGGCGTGTGTTTTTAGAAAGATCACTGGGGTCAGTTCAAACAAGGGTCTGAAGGAAGCAAGGAAGGGACGGAGAAGGTCAGTTACGATGATTTCAATTGTCCAGGTGAGCTCTGACTGAACATGACCTAGGATGGTGGCAGTGAAACTGGGGGAAAGAGATGGAAGAAACATTAGAAAGGAAGGCAACAGACCTCCCAGATCTTCCATTTAAAGGAGGGACAAATGGGACATCAGCACGAAACCCCTGGTATTCTCACAATAAAAACTATACAGATTGTTTAAATACCCAAACACGTTTGTTCACTTCCTGAAAGCTCTCCAAAGGGTCTTGAAATCCCTCAGATCTGAGTAGAAACCATAGTAGCCAGGTCATGGCAGCTCCAACACCCATCCTCGGGGTCCCGTCATTCACTTCGGGTTTCTCGAATGTTCGCAGGGAGACTCACATAGCTCCTTACCACCATGTTTACATAACATGCTGGTGGCGGCTAAATCAACATCAGTTCATTGTGTTGAGGGTTAATTAGTTCTGTGCTTCAGGACTACACGGGAAAGTATGAAAACCCAACCAACTGAACATATAAGTCAGCCAACAAAAAGTCAACAGATCTGAAATATAAATGGCAGACGGAGAGAGCATGAGAGCCACTATGTGCTCGTTCTTTCTCTCTCCATTTGTCTTTCTTCATAGACACAGTTACTGTCGCGTAGTTCCTGTAAGCCGACCCAGGAAAAGTCTGTATATATATTTTGTGCTATTATTTTATTCTATAATAATAATTATATTATATCAGACAGGGTGTCTCTCTCTCACGTGCACACACACACATTTACACATACATATATCACAAATATATAAAAATATATATTGTTACATATAACATAGGGAAAGGAGATTCTGATGATTTTGCAGGTGCTCAGCGTTTATGCTGAAGGTAAAGAGCAAATCATGGGGCACCTGGGTGGCTTAGCTGGTTAAGCGTCTGACTTTGGCTCAGCTCATGATCTTGCGGTTTATGAATCTAAACCCCACATTGGGCTCACTGCTGTCAGAGCAGAGCCAGCTTCAGATCCTCTGTCCCCGCTCTCTCTCTGCCCCTCCACCACTCACACTCTCTCTTTTTCTCAAAAATAAACATTTATTTTTAAAGAGCAAAGCTCGCGTTAGGTATTCTTGACCTTCTTTCCAAATAAAGTATTAAAAACCAATGTCTGCAATGGCCATGAGATAGGCAATTTCACGAGTTCATTCTGTTTTGCAGATGCTTCTTTTTTGAACCTAGCAGGGCAGTGAGTTACATACAGGGACACATTTTGCCATCTAACATTTCCCATCAGAGACCCTGAAAAATTTAACAACAACAAACCAAAAAAATGTCCATATTGCAGCTGAAAGCATACTTGAATATTCTCAATTTATTTTTTTCTAGGAGAGAGAGAGAGACAGCGTGAGCAGGGGAGGGTCAGAGAGAGAGGGAGTCACAGACTGAAACAGGCTCCAGGCTCT